CCCTCCCTCTCTCTCTCCCTCCCTCCCTCCCTCCCTCTGTCTGTTCTGTTCTGTTCGCTCTTCTCCCCATCCCTCGTCTGTTCCCCCGAATAGTCCCCTTTCTTCTTTCTCCCTCTAACTCACCTCATCTGTCTGCTCCCTGCCCTGGCTTCTCTATTCATCTCTCTCTCTCTCTCTCTCTCTCTCTCTCTCTCTCTCTCTCTCTCTCTCTTTCTGCCTTCAAAACTCCCGCCGGGTCTCTCCTCCTCTTCCTAAAGGAAGCCTAACTCTGTCGCTGTCACTCCAGAGACAGACTTCTCACTTCCCCTTTTGCTCTCTTTCCCCTTCTTATTCTCGAAATGCCACGATTGTATTTTTAATCATGGAAGATTAAGTTTCCTCCATCTTGAAACGGCACCTTTTCGTTACTTCTTTTTTTCCCTAATTCCTCTCGACGATCTTCCCGTTTCTATATTTTTTCTTTTTCGAAATGCGTCTTCTTCGTAATTTGCGAAATTTCGTTTTCTACCGATTTTTCGATCCATTTCCTTCACCTATCCAACTTGTGTGTCACCGAAATTCAATCATACAGTCAGAATTGCTTATTGTTCTCTCTCTCTCTCTCTCATTTCGTGATTTCAATTCTCTCTCTCTTCATGTCCGCGACGACTTTCTCTTTTCTTCTCCTTAAACATTCGTATATTATCTTATTCCTTCTCATTCCAACTTGCATTCCAACGTTTCTCCTTCTTCAGTTCCTTCTTCTAGAGCTGTCTTCTCGTTCTACGCCTCTTTGTTCTTCCTCTCTGTTTGTCTGAAGCTAGTCGGAAAGCAATGAGTAATAGATAGAGTTAAACAGAAGAGAGAAGAGAACGCACAGAGGAAGAGTAAGAAAAAGAGAACGTCCCAATGAGGGGGTGATGGTCGAAGGTTCGTCGCGATTCTTCATCTTTCTTTATGCAGCCAGCATCCCCTATAGAAACCTCTCTCTCTTTTGGTGCCTCATCCACCTCCACCATGGTGCGCTCCCCTCTCTATGAGTTCCATGACCCCTTCTCTTCCGCACGTCGCTGCCATGGGTTCAGGGACGATCCCTCTTCAGTGAAAACCGAGGCGCTATCCTGGGAGATCCCACAAACGGCGGCTTTGTTTTTATAGATTCACCCAGATTCGCTTGGGATCTACCTACTAACTCGTTGACTCGTGATTTTAATCTTAAATGTATATATAGAGATCTGAACAAGTAAATAATTGAGTACGTTTCTTGAGAAGACATGTCGAGGATGTTGCAAATGTTGTTATCTCACAAAATAAATTCGATAAAGTAATAGAGATTTTAATTTTATCATTTAATTAAGAGACATATTATTTCTTCTAACGCTGTAAAATATTTAGTACCTCATTATTTTTAGATAGGCAAATTTAATGAAAACAAATTTTAATGAAAGAATCAACAAAAAAAACTTATAATTTTAATTTAACAGTTAAACAAGAAGTTTTGTATTACAAGAAAGTTTCTATTTGTCTAAAATTCACGTATCATTCTAAAATGATTAGATAATCAGCCTTTCGGATGTACACTATCAAGACAAGCAGTAATTAATTATGCTGGAGTATGCATAACTCTGTCATCACGATAGATCGAGCAATTCTCTCACGCAGGATGTTACACAGCGTAAGTACCATCTCGATCTCGTTTTTGTACATATGGTACATCGACATCAGAGAACTAAATGCATGCGAATGTGCCTATCGTAAAATCGATAATCGACGACGCCCCTTGGGTACAGAAAACATTGCGTAAGTGACGTTTCGGCGGTCATGCATCGTTACGCTATAATGAAGTGCGGTACACCCTTGTACTTTCTAAGCGAAAAGAAATACGGATGAACATTGACTTCAGCCTGCTCCGAACCTACTTATCTTTGAGGAATCCCGATAGGACCATAAACAGACGAGAATTTCGTCTCGTCCATTCTTACGAGATACAATTTTAAAAATTGATAAAATTTTCAGACAAGATTACGGCGCGGTCTTTCAAGGGATCTGCGACTCGAGTCTCGTTAGTACAGAAATCCACTCCTGAAGGGGAGAGGACCAACGGGTCTCGGCAAGCACGACGAGTACGCTAACCTAGGGTACAAGGCATGGGAGAAAAAGATGGTAAGAGAGAAAGGAAGAGAGAGTACGAATGAGTATCCCTGAGAAGGATAAAGTGTCGCATGAAACGAAGAGAGATGGCTTACAGTAACGTATCAAGCAATTTGCGGAATGCATTCTTAGGAATGATTAGACAAAATGCTCCATTAGTCATCTGTGGCACTGATGGACTTTTGTATTTCTTATTTTCAAACTATCTCTATACGTACTAAAAATATTTGCTTATTTTTGTCCTTCGATTTAATAATGATCAGTAATTTAATAATTGCATATAATTTAACCGACATATAATAAAATTATTTCATAAATTTTAATCGTGTATGAACTTTTTACACAAATTCCACACAATTTCTTAAAAGCATTGCTCATAATACTGTAAATATCGAGAGACAGGCTAGCTCATTGTTTACAACTTGATAGAGCTTCTTTCTAATCATACAATCATGCGATGACAAGGCATAATGAAACCTGAAATTTTTCTTCCTCGAAATTGATCATTAATTCTTGAGTTTCATCGCGGTGACTGTTACGTCACTGCATCCATTGTAAGGCAGAAAGAGAAGGAACGACAAAAAGGAGACCGACGAGAGGAGAGAGAAAGAAAAGAGAAAGGAAAAGAGAAAAGAGTGAGAGAAAGGTAGAAGAAAAGGGGAGATGGGGTGAGACGAGAAGGGTGAGAGACGTGATGCTGGAACGTGTGTTAGTCACGGGTTGCCCATAGCAACCCACGCGGCAAATGCACGCGTTATAGGCGCCTCGTATAGGCCACAATGTACAGGGTGTCTCAGAAGTTAGTTTCTTCTAAACATTAAATAACAAAAAAGTTATTCAAAAAATGTGTCGATATAGTCGATTTTTTTTTTATTAAGCGTGATTAAGAACAAAATTTTGTCAATCGAGAAAAAGATAAAAGTTTATAATGAAGAAAATAAAGGACAGGTCCACGATTTCTATCACACCCTATATACGTTGCGTACTACGCATTTACTACGTGCGTACGTTGCGAGTGCGCGTGCGGGACGCATTCGCATGTTAGGCACGCTTGTGTTGCCAAAGTTAATTGATTTCGTCTCCGTCGGCCGGCACGATGTTACCACTCGATCTGGCCACGCAACGAAACCGCATTATCGGTCGCAGATGTCCGCGAAACATATCTGTGGACTGCTATCTGAAGCGAAGGGTGAGAACCCCGTGTATCTTGTGCTTGTGTGATTATCCGTTCTTCAGATCTAGGGCGAAATATTGTTCGGATAGATATTTAATTAGAGAAGCAATTTACCCACAAAATATCTCTTAATCTAGATCAAAATCGTACTTTTAGCTACATTCTTTTCTAAAAGTATCTAAAGAATGTCAAATTCTCATTTACAAAATTCCGGAACAATGCTGTGCGTTCAACAGTGTGTTTGAATATTTCACACTGAACTCCAGTGTGACTCTATATAATGACGAAAAATAGCACAATTGCGATTTCACTCGATATTGATACGTACGAGTGTCTGCAGTGTGATGAAAATTTTAGTATCCTCCGATACTCGTACGAGCAATTCATTTAATGATTACGCATTAATAGGTAAGAAATAAGTGTACAAAGCATGATATATTTCGGATCTTCAGCGTCTTCGTTGCGTTTCTTCCTGATCAGGTATTCCACAGAAACGTGCGATTGACTTTCAACTGATTTTTCTACAGCAAATCGGTTGACTAATGACTAACATTATAAGCAAACGCAACGTGGAGTTCAGGGTGACTGAAGTATAGCGAACATATCAATGTACGTATTATGTTAAGCAGGCTCAGGTAACGCGACTTTTTTTCCTTATTCCTTTTGCAAGCGAATCCCTTGCGTAATATAACTCGCTCGGCGAGCCGATCGCGATCCTTGGACAAAGGTTGATATGATTGCAAGAAGCAATAAAATGATCGATTAACTTTCATGACACTGTACTTCGATCTTTTATATTACACATAATGTCGCGATATATTTTGGAGATATCTTCATTTTTTACGAAAAAAAAATATTTTTGGAGGT